CCATCTGATCCGTCACCGCGTCTCAGTAACGTGGAACTTTTCACCCAAAGCAGCAGTAACTCTCAGCTAAACTACCGGTCTGATTGCATTCCACCTGAAACATAAACACTATTCTACTTTAAGTGTGCATTTTGTCTTGCGTACATCCCAAAATTCAAGTTTGTACACGACAGTTTGAGCAAATGTGCAAGTTCAAAAGTAGACACAATGCAGATTATTCTAAAGAATTCGCTCAGTGCAATGCATTAGCCAAAATACATTTAATTTGCTACCTTTCTGCAACCACTAAAAATGGCCCATTAGCTCAGCTTAACCGTCATGTCACGATGTGAACACAAAAAATCTGATGTAATTCTTTTGAACTATTCCTCGATTTAGAATAAGTATGTCTGAACTGTAGAACAGGAGATCTGTCAAAGCTCTCAGGTGCCGCTGACGACTTTTCCAGAGTCGGCAGCAGGTAGAACGCTTAGATAACCTTTGTGCAGGGTGAGGCCTTCTGGGGAGAGGATGGATTGAGGACCTCCTCTGCCGACGTCTGTCCAGTTCTGAAGAGCCTTGCAGGTCCATGTTGATACACAGAACTCCAGACAGCAGCTGCCTCTTGTACTGCTCGAGGCGCATGAAGGCTTCAAGTACTGAAGAACCAGGAAACAGGCTGCTGGAGCTGAGCTGGGACTGGAGGGACTCGTAGTGATGCAGTTCCAGCTGCCAGGATAAACTAGAGTACGCATTAGAAACATGTAGAAGTGAGGATGATTTACCAGTGGCAACTATCTCACCAATTGTTGTTCAAGCAGAGGTTACTATAATAAATGTTTTTTTTAATAATGTGCATAAAATGTGACATGTGTCCTGAAACAAAGGTATAAGAGATTTAATGTTGGACTTATACTCTGTGGGTGGTGAGACTGAACATAAGTTCTTACTTTGCTCAGAGTCTGCTGGATGTGAAAAGAAGCGACTGATTTCTAATAAGCTGGACGTGTCAACATAAAAAGAGGGATTTTTTATTTTGTTCACAACTTGTCTTTGCTGCCGCCTAGTGGCTGGACTGGACATTTAATGTATTCTGGCATTACAGGATGTAAAAAAAAAAAAAGTACAAAAAAGAGTATTTGTAGTAAATTTTAAAAACTGGCTGACTGATACTATAAGTTTCATGTCTGTGTAACTGCATAGTCACCTACCGTGCAGACACATGCTGGAAATACTTTTAGAAGCCTGGCGAAGAACATGCTGTAGCACTTTTAATATCTGCTCTCTGATCCATCCCATGTCTTCTTGCACATCTGGCAGCCACTCCAGGAGTCTATACATAAGATATACTCTCATTAGTGATTTTTTTTTAAATGTTACATGATAGTCACTTCCACTAAACAACAACAAAAAATGTCTTAAAATCATGTTCAAAATATCCAAAGACTTTTATGTAATACAACTTTACTCTTATCAACAAAACAGACATGCAGATGTAATGCACTGAAGTACTTGTAGGACTGCATATCAGATAAGAAGGGAATCAGGACCAGGTGTAAATAAGTCCTAGAGTACCTGAGAGTCAAGGACATGGCGGACTCCAGAGGGAGGGTGTAGGGGAGCATCAAGACTGAGGCCATCCTGACAGGAAGCATGTTGCTAAGCGACTGCACCAGACTCCTCCTCTCCATACAGGCCTCGACTAGAGCTGCAGAGAGAGGCAAAGAGGATCAGAACCGTTCAGTCACTATGCATATTATTACCTTCTTTGTGCTCCATTATTCATGACTTTAATGAGGCTTACAATATAGAAATCAAATTCTAATTTAGTTTCTTGTGGGTTAATGGAATTTCTGAGTGATATTGCTGTTCTAATACAACTTATTTGAATACATTATCTCAGAAGACATTTACTAAATGATACGTGAACACATTTTTTGAGCAGTAAATTAAGAATGATATGACTGTATTCTGGCAAAAAATTGATGTTCATATAATATTGATGTATAGTAGTATTTAAACAGCTCAACATGCTGTCAATTAACCCTTGAGGCCATTGCTGGCATGAAGTCACCCTGTTTGGACTCATTTACTCATTTATGTTTAAGTATAAATGTATACTAAAAATAATTTCAATGCCTCTTTGCAATGTCACAAAGTGTATTTTATTCAAAGCCTCATAAGCCCCTTGTCTTCTTCTTAGAAATATACATTTTTAGAAATATGTTATTAATACTAAAAACAGGTTTCTGACCTGGTGGTAAAATTAAACTTTCATTTTGTAATTATAATCAAGCGGACTTACTGGTCTTCATGTTGTGACAACATTTCCAAATTCTTACGATAAATACTCATGATGATGTAAAAGAACACCGGAGGAGAGAGTAAGAAATTAAATACGGGAAAGAGGCAGAGGGTCAGACTTGAACCCGAGCCACCTGCTTCAAAGGCTACATCCACTGTGGGGCGCGTGCCCCCATGCGCAGAGGCCTCCAAGCAGGCGACCTGGGTTCGAAATCCAACCTGTGGCTCCTTTGCCGCGCGTCATTCCCCACTCTCTTCCTCCCCGATTTTAGACTCTCCTCTGTCATTTGTCTCTCCAATAAATGCACAAAAGGCCAAAATTAATCTTCAAAAATGAAGATGCAGCCTCTGTATGGGACTGTTCCTTGTTTTTATACTATGTTGTCTAAGGTCTGAAATGTGAGGTTACCTTTGTGCAGGGTTGGTGGAAGGTGCTCTATGATATGCTCCTCTATTGAGGAACTGGAATCGACCAACACTGCTACCTCTTCCACATGTAGCTTTTCCTCCTCCTCATCATTATAATCCTCATTTTCGTTGCCATTTGTCAGCAGGGGTTTGTCTCTCTGTGGTTCATTGAAGTGAAGCAATCCTGAAAAAGCAGCAAATGTGACAACACTTATTCTCTCTTATCTTTAATCAATAGCGAGAAAATTGCTTGAAAATCTAGTTTGAAAAATCAAAACACATGAGAATTTTGATGACGTTGTGCTCATAAATGGACCTAAAATAATCAATCAGTTCTGTGACAAGCAAAATAAGTGTATTGCCTGACATGTGGTCACAGGAAGCACAAGTTCTGAAAGCATATTCTGAAACTGCCTGTACTACTTTATTCCAGCCAGAGGAAAAGACATCAATTAGGCTTGCTATTCATGACCTCAATCTACTATAAAGAGCTTGACTGGCTTTAGAGAAGGACGTAAAACAAAGAAAACTTCTGTTTCTTACCATTCTTCTTTAAAAAGTGCAGAGCATCTTTGTAACCCTGCTTACACATGGCCTTCATAACCTGCACTCAAAACAAAAACAGACATTCATCGATGCAAGAAACTGACTGAGTTCTCGCCAGTTCATCCGAGGGGAATCGTTTATAGATCTGCACATGTTTGGTCTGGTTCCTACCATCGGGTCTGGAGGGAAAAGGGCCCTGGAGACTCTGTAGAGGTTGGTGAGGGTGAACTGGATGCTCGTGTTGGTGAATCGCAGCTCGTGCATGTTGGTCGAGGTGTCTCGGGGGCAGATGTCGCTCTCTCCAGAGAACGGCGACACAGTGATTGTGTTTTTCAGCTCGTACTGAGGCAGGTTGTCTGAGATCCCTCCGTCCACATAACGCTGAATTCAAAAAAAGAAAGGATGACTATCAGAATCAGGACACACAGAAAACAAATGACTCATTGTAAACCTTCTAATGGCATTAAAGGATGCTAAGCCCCAAAGCGAGCTTTACACTGGTTATGGTAACGGTGACATCATATCCTGTGGATTGATTACTGTCTGTTGTTGTCTTTTTCAAGCTAGAGGACTTTTAGGACTTTTAGGCACACTGAGTGAGTCAACAGATAAACATGGCAGCAGATTTTTGAACCTGTGCCACGGAGCGTATGAAAGGACAGAACAACCTTAAAGCCTGTGCCAACATGGTCACGTCAACCTCTTGCCACTCACAGTTTGGTGACAGGCCCTCCACACACACAGGCACATGTAGGCTCTTATAAAACCCATCACAAAGGCCAAAGAGGGAGGGTGGGAACACTGGTGTTGTGCAAAAATAGTTTCCCAGAAAACCTTTGTGCTACAAACATGACTGAAAACAAAAAAAGTGAAAGGGTGTATAAATAGATAAATAAATAGAAGTTCTGCTTTTTTCCTAGTGTGAGATGATTAACAAACACTAACTCCTGGGGAATTATGTAATGATGGTTTCCACACATGTGCCATTCAGAACAAACACATTCTTGAGGAAGGGAGGGCACTGATGTGTGTGTGTGTGTGTGTGGGGGGGCAACTATGAGAAAAAAGTGCCAAAAGTAGAAACAACATAACACTAAGAGAGGAAATACAGAGCAGTGTTCTGGCAAAGCAGTTTGATAGCACGGTTCATGACACCACTCCAACATCAGTGCATCATTTAGGGCTCGTTTATACTAAATTACAGGACATCACAACATAAGGATAGTGAACACAGGCTGAATAATATTGAATCTACTCACCACTCCTTGCAGTGTGGGCGGGATGAGGCCACAGTACACTGGGATGAAGGCACTGCAGACACATGCCTACTTAACAAAAAGAACACAAGAAGCATTGTTTTCTAATGTACTAATGAAAAAATGTAACGTTTCAAATATTATTGATGGATGGATGACAAAAATATATCACCCAACTATTGAGAGAGGCATTATATTCTTTTGTTGTTACAGTGTTACAATTTTATTAAGCAGAGGCTTTTTTTTTTTAATCCACAGCAAAGTACATCATGATTCATATTCATGCCCAGGACACTTCGATAGTGACTAACTGTTTTAGGGTCAAACTACCAACCTTCTGGGTTGACTGTCTCTACCACTGAGCCACAGCCGCCTCTATTATGATGTGTATAACTTGTGCGTAAAGCTATATATTACAGGTTATCACAAAATGTATTTTTAATTTACAGGTTGTTCTTTGTTGTGCGTAAAGGATCATATTCTGTTTAATAACATGTTCCTGAGTTAAACATCCAAAGCTTTTCATCAGTAACTAAACCAACTACTATGTTCCTAATCAATTTTACAACATAACACACAGAAAAACACATTTAAGAAGCGTAAAACTGTATCGCCCACAATATCACATGATGAGTATGGTGATATGAAACCCCCTAAATCCTGACAGCTGAGTTCATCATGATAAACAAACTCTTCTCTTAAGTATACAGATATGAAAATACAATCTGGTATCTCATGAGTGAAATCAAACTGAATGCCCACCTGCACCAGCTCCTCCTTGTTGTTGAAGTGAGACACCACAACATTTTCTCCGTCTGCCACTCGGGTCAGAGAGATTCCTAACCGCCCGCTTGCCTGATTGTGACAATCAGCTGGCAGAGTTCGCTGTAGCACATGACGCACGATCTTCACCAGGTTAAATGAAGGATGCATGGGTCCCAGGAAACGCTTCCTCGCCTCTTTGGCAACATCAATGATGCTTGCACCAGCCTCTCCTGTGAAGACAACACGACATCTGTTACTGTGGATAATTAGATAATTGGAATGTATTCAACCCAAATGATGGAATGAATGAATGTCTTTATTCAGACTTACTTTGACTACATCATGAAGAATACAGGTTCAATTAAATATTACTCATTAATATACGAGGAAAAGCATGAAATAGATTCCCTTGATTTTGATATGCAACAATTACTGTAAGGGTTTCTGTTTCCCCTGCACCAATTGTGGGACAAACTTCTGTTTTACTGTATCGCACAATAAACTTCATAGATTATTGTTGGATAAATTGAATACTTGAAAAATGCTACTTACAAGTTACTGCAACTTTATAGAGTAGGCTATAAAACCTTGCACCAATAGGCCTACAAAAAGGTTAAGAACCATACAATTGCCATAGCTTGTGCAATTTAACTTAAAGGTTCAAATTAGAATGATGGACTTGTTTTTTTGTTTTTTTTGGTTTGTTTTTTTACAGACTAATCTCAGTGTGGCTCATGGCAATTACACATGCATGTTTCTGGAAATAACATGGCTTCAATTGTACTTCAGCAGAGATTAAGTGGCGAAAAGCATCCAGTAAACCTCATCCAAAAGCTTCAAACAGGACACAAATGATCTTACCAAGACACACTCCGGTCACCAGGGCAGTGGCAGTGATTGCTCCGGCTGAAGCGCCGTAAACGTGCCGGGCGTTTTGCACCAGAAAAGGAGCCTGCTCCACCAGACAGCTGGCAACACCGACGTGGTAGATACCGAGGAAGCCGCAACCTGCGAACGAGATGTTCCACGGAGAGTCTAAAGGAAACATAGCGGGGACTGTCCGCGGCAGAGGGACTAAGGTCAATGTAACAAACGCAAAGTTGGCCACAAGCTGCAAAAGAGCCAGAAGTCTCCTTTCACATTTTGTCAACCCTTCCTGTTAACATGCTGCCTTTTTGAATAACGTGACTTTTTGAAGGTAGAAGTAACTATGTAGCGTTGCAGGACACGTCGCTAAATCTTCATTAATTTAAAAAAACTCAAAGGATCTGATTCTCGTAGCTGTATGCTCCCCTACGCTTGTTTAACAACTATGGAGCCAACACGGGGGGAGTTGTTATTGTCCATGCTCGGTTGGGGTGTACAGGGAGGAGGGGTGTACACAGTCAAACAACAAATCACGACGGACAACGGAAAGAAATGTGGCCAATCGCAGTTAAGAGAGTCGAACGAACGACCAATCACAACTCACATAGTTTAAATGCCAGGGAAGTCAATGAGCGGGCACCCACGTCGCGTTGACAGCTGTTCTGTCCTCTTCAAAACAAATCTGTTTGTGTTCACGTTTTGTGTGATCCCCAAATTCTGTAGAGGCTACAATGGGCCCTTTTCGCAGTATCTGTTATTATTAGGAATAATGAGTATTGATTTCCTTATTTGAACTAACTCAGTGTTTACAGATCGATTAAAGCAAACCTGATAGTGAGCACTAAAGTTTGCTCTTGTGGATTTGGTTTTGGTATCTAGTATTGATCTGTATAAAGCAGCAGCATCATATTTCTGGGAGACTTTGTTCAATTCCAAAACATAAAATAGGCAATGTAATAATAGCCTAATAGGTTGTATAGCAACAACAACAACAATAATAATAATAACAACAATGTAGTCTACACACCTGCCTGGTTTGTAATCACCTCAGTACAAAATAACAAACGGTAGGGATGCATAAATAAGTTGTAAAATCACATATATTTTACATCTGAAACACATTCAACAACAACAATGACATGTTTTTTTTTTCTCCCTGGAACATTTCCTTGAATTGTGCTTTCGCAGAATAATGCTGTAAATGGTCTATCTTTGTGCTGATAGGTTAAATTGAGGACATGAGTCCTTAGAGAATTTATTCTACAGAGTAATATCACACGTTACTCCTGTTCTATCAAGTGTTTGGTTTCTATTTTTTTTCATGGATAACCTAACCACGGGTAAACCTCCAATATCTTCAGGACAGCTCTGGAAAAGTACTGAAACTTTTAGTCACGCAAAGATAGTACCACAAGGTAGAAGTATTCTGTAAAAAGCCCTGCATTCAAAGTATAGTACATACGTTAAAATAAAGTATAGGTATAAAACTGTTAAAGCTCCTTTGAGAAGTTTTTAGCTGCTTATAAAACAGGCTGAAATTAGTACTGATGCCTCTCTATGACCTACAAAAGGAAAAGACATTCAACAACAAGACTGACACATTTGATATAGTAATTCTGAATGCTCATAAACATTGCAGCTGGGTCAAAGTGAAGTAAGGCATACTGCAGAAGCAGCCTTTGTATACATTTTCCACAGAAACATCCAGAACCACCTCCTTTGGATGTGACAGAGGCTTTACTCGTGATTCAGCAGTTTACAGTCACTTTGAACTTTCACCTATATATCCTCTCAGTCAATGATGTGCTGTATTCTGGTCAAGGACCCTAAATCACTCTGGATTAATTCGTTTGGATTAATCTTGTATTCCACATGAACGTTTACAACAACCTGAAAACCCATGTCTGAACACAGAAAATCTTTTGAAAAAGTGAGCATTAAACTTGCACAGAAGGGACTTTCTGGTTCTGGTTTGCAAAAAGAGGACTGTAGTGTAAATTTACGACAACTAAGGTAGGCGAAATAATCTTTTGAAATAGAGATTAAAAAAATGAATTAGCCTACATTTTCTAATATTTCTTTAAAGTATGGGTCAGTCAAACTTTTAGTCACGCAAAGATAGTACCACAAGGTAGAAATATTCTATAAAAAGCCCTGCATTCAAAGTATAGTACATACGTTAAAATAAAGTATAGGTAAAAAACTGTTACTGTTTGAGAAGTTTTTAGCTGCTTATAAAACAGGCTGAAATTAGTACTGATGCCTCTCTATGACCTACAAAAGACATTCAACAACAAGATTGACACATTCGATATAGTAATTCTGAATGCTCATAAACATTGCAGCTGGGTCAAAGTGAAGTAAGGCATACTGCAGAAGCAGCCTTTGTATACATTTTCCACAGAAACATCCAGAACCACCTCCTTTGGATGTGACAGAGGCTTTACTCGTGATTCAGCAGTTTACAGTCACTTTGAACTTTCACCTATATATCCTCTCAGTCAATGATGTGCTGTATTCTGGTCAAGGACCCTAAATCACTCTGGATTAATTCGTTTGGATTAAGCTTGTATTCCACATGAACGTTTACAACAACCTGAAAACCCACGTCTGAACACAGAAAATCTTTTGAAAAAGTCAGCATTAAACTTGCACAGAAGGGACTTTCTGGTTCTGGTTTGCAAAAAGAGGACTGTAGTGTAAATTTACGACAACTAAGGTAGGCGAAATAATCTTTTGAAATAGAGATTAAAAAAATGAATTAGCCTACATTTTCTAATATGTCTTTAAAGTATGGGTCAGTAAGATGTAGGCTGTTGTTTTGTGATAAGAAAGTGAATCAGTCCACAAAACAAACACTTTGGATTTAAAGTGGCCTAAACAGCGCCCCCTGGTGGACGGCCGAGGTTCCGGCAGCGAGACAAACACGTTGACACATCTGTCCCGCCCTCAGTTGAAACTTTGGCGCTGCTTGCTTCAGTGCGCTTGTTGTCACTCACAGCAGCAACCGGAAAGGCGGGGCGCTGCTCGCTTCCAGACTTTAAAACAGAATTAAATTCCCGCCCAGTCCTCCGGCGGTGTAGGAAGTGAAGGAAAACGAACGAGCAACTCTTGATGCAAAACCCTTCTGATAAAACACAAGGAAGTAAGTGAGGGGAATGAAGAAAGGACTCATTTTAAACATTGTTTAGCAGAAGTAACATGCATTCGTGTATTAACTATTATTGTGAACCGTAAAGGGACCATTAGATATTCATTGTTTGCAAACAACGCAAATATGAAGAGGGTGAAACATAACTTTGCTTCGCCTTTCATGGCAGTCCTTCAACTCTGTTTGACTTTTTAACTGACTGTATGCAATCACGTCATGAGGTGCGTTACAGACTCATAATGTCGGAAGAAAACCCCAGGACCAGTGCTGGATACTCAGGGAACTCGTAGTTAGCTGTCTGGTGTTATAAACACTAGGGGTGCAATGGACGGTGGAGCTCCTGATGCAGAAGAAGATGGAGAGCAGGCAGCCTGTCGGATTAAGGAGACAGACAGGTCGGAGGCTGCAGAAGTGGCAGTGACTCCTGCATGTTTCCCATCAAGAACGACATCAAAAGGTGGAGAAACGGACCCTGTTCTGGACCTGTTGTCCCCAGAGCTCTGGAGGGGACTTTTACACCAGGATCAGGGGAAACCAGAAAGGGATGCCCCCTCTGAGTCTCCCTCCAGCCTCATGGACACCTATGGTCCCTCAATGTCAAGCCTCTCTTCCTCCTCCTCCTCCTCTTACTTGTCCACCCATCGCAACCATGGTGCCAATCTCTCCTCATCCTCATCTTCCTCTTCGTCTGCCTTGTGTCTGACTCCACCGTTGCCTCCTGCTGTGGAGCTCCCAGCTGTGTTGACTGAGACTAGACTGACCCTGGATGTGTACCGGGGAGGAGCGGCGGCACTGCCTCTGATTTGGGGGTCCATACCGGGGAAGGTGAGAGGAGTCCAGTACCTGAGACTGGGCTCTGAAGAAAAAACAGGGCTCGACGGCGCACTGGATGTCGTATCTCATCTGACAGAGCTGCGATCTCTGGCCATTCGGGGTAATCTTCTTCATGCATTATAAATTGCTTGTTAGGCATGGATGGTTTAATATCTCTATTGACATTGTGACAAGTGTAAAAACACATTTTGAAAACAGTAGAACTTAGGTGAGATTCTCTCTTTTTATCTCTTTTTTTCTAGGACACTGTTTTTATGACTCCCAAGGGGACCCGCTGCCTGGCCTCCTCACCACTCTGCCTTCATCATTCTCCTCCCTTTGTCATCTGGTGCACCTGGATCTCTCCTTTAACCAGCTCTCCTCGTTGCCCTCCTGCCTTCTCAGCTTGCCTGCGCTGTCCTCTTTGCTCCTCTGTCACAACCACCTCACAGCTTTGCCTCCTGATGCAGGCCAGCTGTCCTCCCTCACCTACCTCTCGCTCTTTGGAAACGAGCTGGTCTCTCTTCCTCCGAGCGTTGGTAAACTGAAGGCACTCCAGACCCTTGATATTTCGCATAACCTCCTTCAGCATCTACCTGATGAAATTGGATCTCTGGAGGAGCTTGTTAAGCTGGAATTGTCACACAACAAGCTGAAGCAGCTTCCAGAGAGCATGGGTAAGGAGGCGAAAGAGAGCGGATGCACCAGTGCAAGGCTGTAGTAGTAATAATAACAACCTGGGATTGTGTGTGTGTGTGTGTTAAATTCACAAATGCTGCAGTAAACCGTTTCTCTTTTGTTGCCCAGGTGCCCTCCTCTCCCTCAGGGAGCTTGTCATCTACAGCAATGACCTGCGACTGATCCCACACTGTGTGAACAAACTGCCTCTGCTGAAAATAGATGTGCGTGACAATCCCTTGGGACGACCCCCAACACCTCCTCCTCTCCCTCCTGCTCCTGGTGAGCTAAGAGAAAAAGGGTTTCTAATTAATACGGGCTAAATCAAAGGACTGTTTTGCCAGTGTTTAAATTTGCTGTCAGCACATTCACTCTTTTCTTTCTGTTGCATCCCTGTTTTTTTTTTTTTTTTGCTAGATAAAGCAGAAATTCCAGAGTTGCACCTTGGATTTAATCAGCACAGGTACAGTGTCACTGTCAGCTACGACACATCGTCTCAATCGCTGCAGAAATGTGGTGAATCAAATTGCTCAGACGGGGGTAGAAACTAAACACGTCATGCTCCTTTTGCTCCTTAGTTTCTGTGTTTCGTCTGCTGGGGGTCATGTGTTTCTCCCGGGGGGGGCCGAGCTGCTGTTCCCCCCGGGTTGCCTGATGACGACCAGAAGACTGGAGTGGCTCGAGAAACGTCCAGGAAAGAAGTTGGTGCAGCTGGAAGAGCACGACATCCTACTGAGTCGTCCACTGGAACTCCGTCCTCATGGAATTACCTTTCTAAAGGTATGGAACCAAATGTTTGTGGAACCTTATTTGATGCATTTTGCGTTGGGGGCGGCACCGAAGTGTTTGACGTCACTCTTCAAGCCGGATTTCCATTCGTCCCGGTTTTCAATTCCCCAGATTTACAGTAGGAACAAATGTATTTACAGCCTTGTTTACAGTTGAGTAAATTAGATAATTTCCCCATTCATAAAGCTGTACAGAGGCTCAACTGTTTAAGGCCCTGTGTCCACTTAGTGTTTTTTCCGGGCGGAAAAACGCTGGCTGTACTCTCTGGAGTGTTTGCATGAAGCGTTTGTGCTCTGAGAAGAAAAAGCGATGCAAGTCCGTCCTGTTCTCTATGACAACAGTTTGTTGAGAACGGCCGCTGTATGACCGACACGGCTCCGTTACTTTTTTACTGCACGTTTTATATTTGAGATCGTTTTTTTTTGACCCCAGCAGACACGGAGCAAAGAGGATGTGAGTACAAGATACGATCCGTAGGAGGGTAAAATACGGGGAATATCGTACATTTTGAAAAGAGCGCCTGTGACGTCAACAGCGCATTTCTGAAAAGTTGAAAGATTTTTCAACTTGAGCGCCTCGGAGCGGCTGCACAGAAACGGCAGAGCGCTTGTAAAAAAATATGCTGGGCACTGCGCTTTTAATCTGCTGTGAACGCTCTCTACCCATTGAGAGAAGACGCCGGCGCTGACAAAAACAAACACTAGGTGGACACAGGGCCCAAGTTATTTTGATGCTTAAAGATATGCATACTGAAGGGTCTGAATGATAGTTCTGTGCTGCAAGCTGTCTGCTTGGTGTCACCTCAGTAATTTGAACAACTGATCTTTACCTGACTATTTTCTGTATCCTCTGTTTGATCTATTATGGTCCCTGGCTCTTCCTACCTTCCCTAAACGGTAAACGTTGGATCTTTTTCAGCTTAACCCAATAGGGATTCTTGACACTTGAAAATGATCTTTGTGAAGAATATCGTGAAAATAAACAGAAACTTGGACATGGTGTGTTGGTTGTCACAGGTTGCTCTTGTGCCATCTTGTGAATGTGTTCTTTAATTGTGAATGTACGTCAACTTTTGAATCTTGACAGCCTGTGGAGGTGTGTCTGCCTTATCATCGGACAAAAAGAAGAGAAGTGGCGGTGCAGCGGTTTGACGGACAGTCATGGAGCATTCTGCCCACTATCCTGCGGAGGGGGAGCGAGAGCCATAGCAGTCATCCTGGTGGACGTCCAGCCAGGGTAAAGCACGATACCTCCCACACTGCGGAACAGTTGTCATTTTGCTTTCGTGAAAGTAAAACAAAAATGACCTCTCTGTCTCTGTTTAGCTTGCCTGCTGCACAGTGAGCCAGTTCTCCTGGTTTATGGTAGTGTCCCGTCCAGTGAAGGACAGTTGCTCTCTTACGCAAGCTGGAGCTCTGCTGGTGAGCAGCGCTGATCCTGGAATTAAGCTCCAATTCCCTCCAGACTCCACCGTGCAGACCCGCACTATCACTTTACAGGTAGCACAAGAGTATATGGGCGTTCATCACAGCTTGTCTTCATGGATTCTGAGGCTTGTTAGGCTTTAGTTGTCCCTCTTGTGTATGTAGGTGCTGCAGGTGTCCGTGTCAGAGGTGCAGGCGCTGTGTGGTGATCCTCAGGCCAGCGTAAGCCTCTCCTCTGCCTCACCCAGACTCCCAGCATACAGTTCCTGCAGCCTGTCAAAGTCCAGATCCTCTGCCATCAGGAGTCACAGGTCCAGTAAGCCTATATCTGTACGTTCACCCTAAAGCGGGCGTGCACTTTACGATTTCAGGCCGATTTAATCTAGATCAGACTAGACTAGAGTCTATAACTCACCATCCGATCAGCTGCTCCTAACCGGTCAGATGATTTTCTGGCATGTTTGATGCTTTGGTTGTTCAACTGCTCACACTCGTACAGTGATCAGAGCAATGAGTCGATTCTTGACTTCAAGACTTTATGCATACACAAAGAAGAGCGTGTACATATGAGACAACTGAAAGACAAAAAGGAGTTCTCATTGACAGTTGTGAATTCTCCATCCCGTTGTTACTTGTACAGTGCAGCTCTAAGGTTGTGCCGCTGTTGTCTTTAGGTCGTAAGCGATTCAGTCGTGCTGCGTGAGCAAACATTCCACCAGCTTCTCTACAATCGTACAGTGTACGCCGGGCTTAATACATGTTATTACAGAAGTGGTTAGCTTTCTCTGGTTCTTTTGCAGGCCATACAGTCGATACATCTCTGTTTGTATCTGCTACACGGAGACCCCGCACAAACCTGGACTGACATCACATCTCAGGTGTCTCTCTATGTCACCCATGTTTATGCCATTTTCTACATCACACATTTCTCTTGTAAGTTCTTATAGTTGCTTCTCCTTTATATGTTTATATGTTAACTGCACTTACACTCTACTGATAGTTGTGTGTGTGTGTGTGGTGTGTACCTTCATAGGTACTGGCTGTGGTATACCACTCAGCGCTGTGTTAGCGGGTGGTCAGGAAGGTCTATCAGAGGCTAAAGCAGTTTAAGGTCCAGTTCCTGGTCTCCAGAGGAAGACTGATCCTTCAAGTTATGCTACAGTGTTTACTTCTAACAAGGTTTTTAATTCTTCTCTGCACTATAGCTATGCAGTTTAGTAGAACTGCTAGTGTCATTGTAGTGTTTCGTATCAATGCTTTACAGTGAAACAGTGAAAGTGTGACGCCTTCTGCCCAGGTGGACAGCAGAGTGCAGTCTTTATCTGAGCAGTATGATGGA